ATTCGGGTGCCGGGGCTGTGCTGGAGCAGAGAGCTGCTGGACAAGGTCGGGAAGCCAGAACTGGAAATTCTTACTGGAGCTTCAGTCAGAAAAAAAACTTCCTTGGTATCAGTCACATTTGAGTCTTTGAAACGATATACATGTAACTTTTAGTTGCTTTGCTGAATTAGGGTCTTGTCTAGTCAGCTGTTTTGGTTTTAGTTTGTTTTTTTTCCCCAGCTGCTGAACTACACTGGTTCAAAATTTTTTTTCTTTTTTTTTTCTTTTTCTTTTTTTCCTTGGTGCTCAGATGAGTATAGGATCAAACCAGTGGAAGAGGTCAAATACATGAAAAATGGGGGAGAAGATGATCAGAAAATAGCAGCCAGGAACCAAGAAAACTTGGTAAGGATTGAACTTCTCGCTTCTCTAATGAAATGATGTGGCTCTGCTTTTGTAATGACGTGTGCACCGCGCAGCGCATCCCGGCTACGGCTTACACGCGGCCAGAGGATTCTCTCGAACGTGGCACGAGGCTCGGCGAAGCTCACGTGGAAGGTGCAAAGTATCACTTTCTCCTGCTTGTCTTTCTGAATTAGGCTCTGCGTGGTCGCGGAGCCAGGGTTGCCGCGGTTGTGCTCGCTCACCTCCTTTGCAGAGCCGAACGCGCTCTCTCGGAAACATCGGTGTCTGCACTGCAAACGAGGTGGAGTAAACCAGTAGTGCGCTGCCAGCAAGAAAGTGACCTGCTCCTGTAAATATGATTTGCTCTGTGCTTTCAGGTTTTACGTATTTTAAAATTCACTGGGAAGGCAGTTTGGAATAGAAAAAGCAACACGTTCGTAACACAGCAGTCTCAAGAGTCCTTTTCTGTGTGTTGCTTTCTCCCTGATTTGAGCACCTTGCCGGCTCGTAGTTCCACTTACGGGGAGGAAATCGCAGGTAAACCCTTAGTACTACTTCCAATAACTAGGATGCTGTTGCAGCAGCTTAAAAATCACGGTTGAGTCACTTCTGGCAGTTCTGAGAAGTCGTTTCTTCTCTTCTAAAGCTGAAGGAACGTAGATTCTCTAATTGGCTGACTGGGGCTTTGCCTGGTTTAAATTTTTCAAGACATCCCACAATTATAATAGTCGGGCGCAAAATTTCACATCTCATTCCACTCATTCATTGTAGCTTTTCTTCATGTGGGGTTGGGGTTTTTTTCCTTCCGTCAGTAAGACCAAAGGGGGAACAGCATCAGCAGGTTTCAGTGGAACCAAAACCAGTATCACCAGCGGAGGATCTGCCTTTTGCTGTCGTTGGGCGGCTGTACAAAAATCCACTGTGTGAGATTTTTTCTTTTTCTGAAGATGTGAGCGAGCTCCGGGCAACCTGGAGACTTTATATTCCTTTTTCTAGACACATGTACCTGCATTACACAGCTACGCCTGCATTCCTGTCGTGAACAGCAGGCTTCGGTTTGCTGTCCTGGCCTCGTAGCTCGCACGGTGGCAGAGCAGCGCACAGCCCCATTTCTGCCGCCGTCCCCGCACTGGACATTTGCCGCCTGCAATTTTGCGTTGCTGATGCTCCGGTGGACGGCACAACTGCAGCTTGCAGCAGGATTTTGGATTTTTCGAGGGCCTTGGAAGCATTGCGGAGACCGTCACCTTTGCTAGCAGGGGCTGCGGCGCGTTCAGCTGTATCGCCAACGCAAGCGCGTTTGTTTTGAACTGGAAGAATCACAGAATGTCAGGGGTTGGCAGGGACCTCTGTGGGTCACCCAGCCCAACCCTCTGCCCAAGCAGGGTCACCCAGAGCAGGCTGCACAGGACCGCGTCCAGGCGGGGCTTGAATATCTCCAGAGAAGGAGACTCCACAGCTCTCTTCTCCAGGCTGAACAAGCCCAGCTCCCTCAGCCTTTCCTCGTAGGAGAGATGCTCCAGTCCCCTCATCATCCTGGTAGCCCACCACTGGACTCTCTCCAGTAGCTCCTCATCTTTCTTGAACTGGGGAGCCCAGAACTGGACACAGGACTCCAGAAGAAGTGTGACTGCAAGAATTTTTTTTCTCATTTTAGAGACCCCAGCACTTTGTTGGTAAACAGAGAAAAAGGAAAAATGAGCACATACTCAGCTTTTTTTTTTTTTTTTTTTTTTCTTTATTAAAAAGCAGAAGTCTAGCAGGTTAAGTTTTAAACTAGGCTTCGGCTGTAGTTAAATTGGAATATTTGCAGAAGGTGAGATGCCACTTGAATGACAACGAGGAAGAGTTCGTGAAAGATTAGCTCTGCTGAGGTGACACAGCCGCTGAAGCCGTACTCAAAGCTAGAGAGAGATACTTGGCACTTTTATTAGTGCCTGCTTTCTTGTAGCACCTAAGGGTTAGCCTGATTAAATTTCGGAAGAGACATTTCTACAGCACAGTGCTTATTATTTTGTTATTGATGGGGCATGTTTGATGAGAGCAGTGGTTTTGTTGGAAAATATAACTTAATATAGAGTTGGAGGGCTGGTATAGCTCCCTGCTCTATCATATCCGTTGGGAGAAGAAGAAAGACAGTTGGGCAGGAAAGTTGTCAGTCAGACGAGCTGTATATACGTCAAAACAAAAACCACCTTGCACACCAAAAAGGCTCCTTTTTCCTTGTCCTCATCTGCCTATAAGGAGATTACGCTGTCTGTAATGTATGCAGCTTTTTAATCCTGGGAATTGTCAGGTCCTCCTCACTCCTGGGGTTTTTTAAAGGGGTTTCGCTGTTGGAGTTCTCCTCGGTAAGCGCGTTGCAGTTCGCTGCGTAGGAGACGGGTTGAGCTGCCCATCACTCAGGCTTTAGTTTTCTCAACGTGTGAAAAGTTGGCAAGCGCTTCCATAATCCCATCTTCTCATCAGCCATTTCCAGGCAACAGGAATCGCAGGAACAAGAAAAGGCAGTGGGGGAATCGGCTGGCCTTTTTCGCTCCTCCCTTGTTTCTTAATCCCGCGTTCCTTCCTCGTCACAGGGCTGCTCGCTCAGGGCCGCGGCCCCGAGGGGATGTATGATCGGAGCGTCATCGCAGGCGCGTCCCGGGGAACCGCTGCCGTGGGGGTTACCGTATCCCCTGGTACTTGTGCTGGAACTGTGTTATTCGGATGCCAGCGAATTTTTCAACCCCATTATCAGCACTGTTACTTTTTAAAGATATTTTGAAGTCCTGCTTAAAAAAAAAAAATCTCTGCTCAAGTGAGAATAAAACCGCCTCCCTTATAACGTAGGCTCTTTGATGCGGTGCCATCTCTGCCGTTGGTGTTGCAATATATCTGAGTCAGGGGAGGAAAAAAAAAAGGTCATGCCAGTAGATGAAGAGAATGGGGGACATGGCAGACACCAGGCAAATTGTCCTTTCGCACTGGGGCCCTGTGGTCAGGGTCTCTGGCTTTCGTTCTGCTCAAAGAGAGCTGGAGGTGGCCGGTACAGGCGTGGGCATCCCTGGGAGAGGTGAGGCTCTGTCAGTGAGTTGCCACCTTCTCGGCTGCAGCCTGGGGCTCGCACAGGGCTCAGAACGTGAGCAAAGCTGGCGTGGTAAAGCAAAAATACTCCTACGGGGTGTTGAGAGTGGGAGTGGCGGTGCTAGGGCTGTACGCCGGGGAAGCAGAAGATGCTCCAAGTGAAGACATTTTCTGGCAGAATCAAAGGCCTCCTTGAATTAAAACGTAGGCTCTTGACAGAGGCAGGGGGACAGAAAATAAGAAAAGATAGGACAGCCAAGCTTGTTTCAGACTCTGCCACAGTCGGTTATTGTTTTCCTGCTGTTCCCTCCTATCTATTGGCCTGACTCACGTCTTCACCCAGGTTGTTTATCTGGTTCTCCACTTGCCGCTGGGATCTCTCTGGTCCTGGTTTCATTCCTGGTGCATCAGCTCCCAGCGTCTTCCTGAGCATCCCGCCTGGGCATCCCTGTTCCCAGAGCGCAGCCGGACGCGCTGCAGCGGGTGGGGAGGGTCCTGAGCTGCCGGTCACGCATCCGTGTCAGCTGCGGGCAGGGCTGGGTGCTGGGGACCTGGGGTTACGCTGCCTGCTGGCACTCGGCACCACGCGCTTCGGTCGCTGCTCAGCTGAGACAGGGACATACGAGGCAGATCTGTGAAGGATTAGTAGACAGGTGAGAGAAAGGAATCATTTCTGCTGGTTTTCAAGACTATATATGTTTTTTAATCAGTCTTGGACTATATATAAAATATATATTATATATATTTTTATATATATATATTTTACATATATGTATATAAACCCTTGGAAATTGTGCTAATTTTCAGATGAGATGTGATTGTGCGTAGAAGCTCAGCCATGGACCCCCACGCGTGAAAACTCAACCTCAACGCCCCGTGGATCCCACAGCGGCACAGCAGGAGCCCGTTGGGGCAGAGGTGAGCTCCCCTGCGTTCCCCTGTCTTTTGGGGGGGACTGAGGGTTGGTAATTCAGTACTGGTTTCAGTGCTGAAGGGGCTTGCGATCAACAAAGAGTTTTACCAACTTGGAGTTTACCACACAGCAGATGTGATTGGGGTTTTCTGGCCCTAAATAGCAGAAAAAGCAAAGCACAGGTGTCACACGCCTGGTTTTGTTACTTCGGAAATCTAGAACGCTGAAAGACAGGCAGTATTACTGTTCTAGGAGGCTAAATCTATTCTGAAACGTACCTTCTGCAAGGAGGTATGGCTGGAATAAATAACACGTTGGACCATTTCTAAGGATCTATTAACGTGTTGCTTGGAAAGGACTCGCTGTTTAGCTCTACACCAGTATTAAATACACAGAGTACAGTCGTAACAGCCTAGTTAACATTCAGAAGAGGATGACTTTAATTGTCCTCATTTCCATGCTCTCTCAGCGCTAACGCTTTCCGTTGTAAGATTTTCTTGCCAGAAAAGGTGGAATGGGAAGATGTGGCATATTCGTGCAGCTTCGCGTTGCCTCGGCAGGCTGGATGGGCTCCGAGACGGAGTAGCACAGATCCCTGTGGAAACAGCAGACACCCAAAGCTGCGGGTTTTGCGTTGGGTGCTTAACTTGTGATTTATTGCAGTTCAGTTGTTTGATGTTTGTGTAACTTTTACGAATAGAGATCTTTTTTCTGGTCTGCGTTGGCGCAAAAGGCCACTTATTGGGATTTTTATGCTTCGTTATCCAAACCCTCAAAACAACTGAGCATGATGCTCCGTTTCGTCCCGATGCTGCGGAGGGAGATTGCACGTTAGAGCTTGAGATGAAAAAAAAAGCGGAAGAAAATTGCCTCTCCCTGTTGCTCTTGCTGTCTCTCGCTCCGCCTTTAATAACACAATGTTTTGCTTTTGATTTCCCCCCAATGTGTATAAATTTCCACTCCGCTTCCCTGCAAATGCAGTTTTTTTCGGGCTCGTGCGTGCTGTGGTTTCCTGGCTGTG